CTCAGCAGTGCAGCCCAGAGGCAGCTTACCAAGCTCCAGAGATTGATTTGTTCCTCAGTATAGACAGTAGCCTCCGCCTGAAACTCCTTGGCTGTCTTTGGAGCCATCAGTATATGAGATGAGATTGAGGGGGGATACAGCTTTCTGAAGCCAGTTTTGAAAAGCTGCTGGTCCTGCAGCTTGTCCCACAGCCCCAATTTCTAGTGCCTTTTGCTCTCTATTTGGTATGCCAGGATTGTCCCAAGGAGGCAAGGACCCTGAGCCGGGTGTGATGGCCGTTGTTTTAATGTTTCATCTAATCCATTTAAAACGTGAGGTGTACCATCTTCGGCGTAGGGGATGTGACAGGTCAGCTGCAGCTACGCGAACGGCTAGTCAGTCATGTATTCTTTCTAGCCAGGCTTTGGCTGGGCCCCAGCTTGATTCGCGTAGGAGAACAGGGGTAGGCGTTGTGGCAAAGACAGGTAGAATGGCTCGAGCAGTGTTGTTGAAGGCTACCTGAATCTTGCCAATGGCTGCCTGAGAGGTTCGCTTCAAGAACCAGGTCTCAGCTCCATAAAACAGAGTGCTGAAGGCACAGCTTTGAGTTGCTTGTCTGAGCAAATGTGTTTGACTTCCAAATGAGGCTCCATTTAGTGATTTAACATGTCCTGTAACAATTCTGGCTCGAGTGCACGCAAGGTGAATATGTTCTCTGAAGAGTAACTTTCTGTCAAAGAAAACCCCTAGCCATCTGGTGTAGTTATTGGGGGAAATTGTCTGTTCATTAAAGGAGATGGAGGGCTCTGAGTACTTGATCTTTTTATGAAAGTATTGAAGCTCCGTCTTGACTGGGTCAAATGAGATTCCATTGTCAATACCCCATTCCAGGGTGTGGTTGAGAGAATTCTGAAGCTGACTTCCTACCCGCTCAAGGGAGCTTCCAGTCTCCAGGATTGCAATGTCGTCTGCGTACCCAAACCAGCTTTTGATAAGCTGGAGGAGGGGTTCTATGTAGAGCAGAAAGAGAATTGGTGAGACAGGGGATCCCTGTGGAAGGCCACAGAGAATCTGAAACACCTTCAATTGAACACTGTCTAGTTGAATCAAAGCTAGTCATTGATTGAGGAAAGATGCTACTCACTTTATCAGAACTGCCGGCCAGCCCTGTTCCTGTAGACATCTTAGAAGCCAGCCTTGAAGGACTCTGTCAAAGGCCCCTTTGACATCTAGGGTGATCATGCCAGTCAGAAGGTGTTTGTCCCATGCCCCTTGTACATCACAGGCTAGTGCAGTGGTGAGGTCTACTGCAGACCTCTGTTGAACAGCACTACACTGATCTTCTGCTAGAATGTGATGATGGAGAGTGAGATGGGACATTCATCTAGCTATCAGACACTCCAGCCCTTTGCTGAGGCAGAATAGCAGTGTGATTGGGTGGTAAGACTTTGGTAGAGAGTAATCTCTTTTCTCTGACTTTGGAATAATCACCACCTCAGCCTTCTTGAAGCTCTGGGGGTGGATTCCTTGATCTATACAGTGTTGAAAGAGTAGAACAATTTGATTGCCTATCACTGGCCATGTCTTTTGAAGAACCTTGGCTGTAATGCCATCCAGACCAGAAGATGTGCTGAGTGTCTGGCAGGTGGCTCTGTAGACTTCCTGCTCTGTAAGAGGCATCCAGGGTATCTCTCTGCATGGGATTGTTGGTGTATGCTCTGGGATATCTTCTGTGTCAAGATGTCTGGCCAGAAGTGTCTCGCGCAGTAGAGAAGATTTGCCAGCACAAGATTGTTCTAGGTGTCCGTCAGGATGTCATAAAGGAGGAGTGGGGTCTTGAGGTTGGTATTTATGCCATTTGACAATCTTGTAGACATCTGATAAGGAGGAAGCCTCCTCAATTCACTGGCAATTCCATGCTCTCTTAGCTTTTCTAATTTCCACCTGGAATGCCACTTGTTCTGATTGACAAGGGCTGTGTCTACATGCTGCATGATATACTCTTCTGGCTATCTTGACTGCTGGGGTCCACCATGGGGCATGATGACTCTTGGGTCCTGGGGCGAGAGAGCAGGAGCCTTGTAGAGCCAGTTGGAGAGATTTCACAATGTCTGCTGCTTCCTCATTCACATCCTCATAGATCAGTGAGGAGAAGAAAGTGAGTAGTTGCAAGAAGTGATCAGCATCACAGGTCATGAGGCTAAGCTTCTTCTCCTTAATCAATTGAGTCTGAGTCTGTGATAATTGAACTGTTGTGATAAGAGTTTCATGATCTGAGATGCAGTGCAGTTCAGGAGCAATATGACAGATAGCTGAGTTGGCAGCACAGAAGACAAGATCAAGTGTGCCTCCTTGTCTATGTGTAGGGGATTCAGCCAGGTTGAGAAGCTGGAGTTCAAGAGAGATTGCCCAGTTATACAGATTCTCTCCTGCTTGAGGATGCCTATCAGTTGTAGAGTCCCATGCTGTGTGTCTAATATTAAAGTCTTCTAATGCCATCCAGGGGATGGTCTCTGTGGTGTGTGTAAGAGAGAGGAGGTCTTGAAGGCCTTGACCTGCATCTGTGGTGCCAGATGGGGTGTTGTATATGTTGTAGATATTAGCCCTTTTGGAGTTAGAGATCTTAACTGAGACACAGACAACATCCCTTGAGATATCTGCTATAGATTGAGTTGGTGCAAGGGCCCTTCCATTTCTGACATAGAGCAGTACTCTGGGCCTCTTGGTCCAGTTGGAGGAGAGTGGGGTGAAGTGCTTGTATGAGGGATGGCTTTTGGAGAGGCAGGTGGAGAGGTCTGTAGCTATCCAGGGTTCCTGAATGGCCACAATGTCACAGGCTCTTTCATCTGCTAGTGAGAGAGTGATGTCATGGGAGCTTGACTGTCTTCCTACATTGGCTTGATATACAGTGAGTGTAGATTTGTGAGAAGAGCTGTGACTGCTCTTCATTAGTGGAGGTTCAGACTTGGTGTGATCTTGGTGCCTGTTTGAGAGCAGGTCATTGAGTCTGTCTGGTTGCTCTGGGAGCTAATGACTGGTGTCAGCAGAGCTGAGAGAGGGGATGAGGTGGAGTCTCTAGAGTTTAGCTCTGGATTGCTCTTCTCTGCTGAAGTTTGATGAGCTGAGGTGAATGCTCTTCTGCCAGCTTCGTGTATTGAGTGTAGCTGATGGCAGGAGATGTGTTCTATACATCCAGAGACTATTTTGAGCCTTGCTGGACAGTCAGTGCTGAGAGTGGGATGAGGGCCAAGGCAGTTGCAGCAGTGAGCTGGTGTTTGACATCTGTCTGAGTGTGTGGGACTGCTGCACTTCTCACAATGTAGGGGTCATGCACAGTTTCTTTCTGTGTGGAAGCTGTGACATCTTGTGCAAATTGAGATCTTTGATGATTTCTTGATTTTGTTAACCATCACTGGGCGACTGAAAAGGTGGAGTTTGTTTGAAAAGAGGTGCACTCCAGAGGTTCATACTCCAACCCAGGCATACCCTTCATGCAGATTGGGGTCCATGGACTTCTTTGTCCAGTGACAACGGGTGATTGGAGCCTGGTGGGTGATGTCTCAAATCTCAGAAAGAAGCATCTCTTCTGACACTGGAATCAGAGTGATATTCTGTCCTTCAAAGCTGTGTGTTGACTTCTTGATTGGACCAACTACAAAGATGGTTCAGGATTCCTGTCACTCAATAAGACAGTCATCTACAGCAGCTTTCAGCTTATCTGCATGTTCAAGAATGGAGGCTGCCTTCACTGGGGAGGGGGCAGCCATGGTGATTCCTGATGGGCAGTGCCATACATCAGTGATCCAGGTCAGATCAGGGATCATGGCGTGTACTTGTTCATGAATAGCTTGGGGATCTAGGTCATGAGCAGCATGTGCTGCAGGTAGCCTAATCATGACTTGTTTGTCTTCCTGTCCTTGGTGCAGGGGGCAGTTGGCCTGCTGTACCTGCTTCTTGTGAGGTTGTCCTGTTGCTGAAACAGTCTGGGGGGGATTGTTTGAGGGGATTGCCTTAGCTGTCGTGGCAGTAGCATATGTCAGTGTAGGCTTTGATTCAGTGGTGAGGTCTTTAATGGCTTTGACTATGCTGTATCCCATGACTTGCCTTAGTACGGCAGTCTGGCGTGGTAGAGAGTTCTCATAAGTGCAGAGTATCAGGTCCAGTACCACAGATAGCTTATTGCATAGCTCAAGCACTGCAGCTAGCTCTGCAGAGAAGGAGTTGTTGACATGACTCAGCAGAGCATTGAGCTTATAATTCACTGTGGAGGAGGAGTTCTTTGTGGTTAGCAGGACTGCTTGAGTGCAGTCAGTCACATTCTTGATGGATTCTCCTCCTGGTGAGAGGGCCGGGCGGGGATTGAAGTTGATATTGATTTGATGTAGTTGAGCTGTGGTGGCTGTTGTAGTGTCTGACGCGTCCTGGGACATGGTGTTTTGGGGCTGGGGGGGGTCGTCTGGGGGTTTTAGCGGAGCAGAGGAGATTGCGCGGGCTCTCTTCTTTTTAGAGCGAAGAGGAGCCTTGGTGATAGCAATGTTGCTGTTGTTTTGGCTCATCGCGGCGATGTTGCTCCGTACGATGTAGATAGAATGACATAAGCTCATATCCTTTATTAGCTCAAGTCTATTCATCAAATAACTCACATGACAGTTCTATTGACTTTCTACCTCAGTGTCATCTCTACTGTGACTTTAATATGTCTAAGCGTATAATTCAGTTGCAGCTGGTAGACAATTGTTTCAGATCACTGGAAAATAAAAAAAAAAAAAAAAAAAAAAAAAAAAAAAAAATAGAAAAGCAAATAAAAGGTTTCATCTCTGCTCAAATGAATTAAATACTCTAGAAGGTATTATAAGACAACATACAGAGTACATAAAACATTCCATCACGACAGATAGATTAATCAAATAAATATGTATTATCAGTACCTTGGCCCTGTTCATAATGTATACTGACCCACATACATAGAAACCAATCATGTTCCCACTTTTTCTTCTACAATCCGCCATCGCATTCAAAAACTACTCATAGTCTCGTAAATACCGCCCAGGCAACTCTATTTCCCACATTGGCCGTTCCACTACCGCCACCTCAATATTAAACCCGTCCTCCAGTTTTTGATTTGGATCTGATCTGCTATCCGGCTCGTCAAGCGACACTATTCCAAGAATATCCCGATATTTATGCGTATGCCACCAACGACGTTGCGGCAGTGATCGTTTATGCGGCGTTAGTGATGGGACTTGCGCTTCAACGTCTGTTGAAGAGCTTGGGTTAATTGCGCTGCGGGTGGAGGGAGTTGCTTGTTTTCGTTCAAGCTTGTCAGACCCAGAGGAGTGTATATTTTGACTTCGCCCCTGCTTTGCTTGCGGCAGTACGGTGTCACTATTGACTTGTGGCCTGTTGTCGATTACAACAGCGAACGCTACTTGCGACTTTGCGTTGGAATCTGTGGATGAAGAGGGGAGATGTGTGCTCCTACCGTTGGGCAGATGTTGATCGTGATGATTTGTCTCTTTATCCACGTCTTCGTCTTCCATTCCATCAGATCCGAGTTGCGCAAGATTTTGCTCTCGTCGAAGACGTGCCAAGGTAGAGTCATTTGCAATGGATGCTTCGTTGTATTGTTTGTGCTCATCTTCGTCAAGAATATCATCTCGCTCACTTTTTCGTGTAATGTCTATCCATTGTACATTCAACTCATCACCATCCACGATTTTGCGCATTTTTCTCCCCAGGCCCACGTCGGATTTCGATACTGGTATTCTATCTCCAGCACCAGTGTTGGTCTTCAGAATTTTCCTGTCATCATCCCCTCGCTTACGTTTGCTTTGCCCTTTTTGCACTGCGCCATCTGCAATATCCTTGCTTGTAGAACCATTCGGTGGGGGGAAATCCAGCGAAAGGTCGAACATCCACATCCATGTAGGACCGTAAAGCCAAAGGCGTTCCCGGCTCTTATTTATATCCCAGATAGCACCCATCGCCCTATCCTTCAGGATGGTAAATTCTTTTGGCAGATACGCTGTGGGATTTCTCCGCGACCAATCGGACAGTTTCCCTTTCAGAATCTCGAATTCGGACAACTGGTGTTCTGCGGTCAATACCATTAGGCGTTCAGTAATGGAGAAAGATGGACAGGAGACATGAACTCTGGTAGTTCCGTTCGTGAGATCTTTGGGTTGGGAACGACTTGATGGGCGGAATGATAGCAAGAGGATTCCGGCTTTAAGACGAGGAATTGGTGATTCTGAAGGCGTCTGTATCCACCGCTGGCCGTCGAGTACAGCAGGAGAATCGTCATCGTCACACGAGGATTCATCATCCGAAGAGTTTGTCGAAGGCTTTCCGTTCACCTTCAGCATTGTACCTTGCGTAGATGCTCTGACATCCTCCAAAATCCAAGAGTCTATGCAACCTGCCAAGTCGCCGCTCGCCATAATTCTACTGTCCTCTGAAAATGCAATACAGCGAATGCTCCGTTCGTATTCCCCAAGTGTACCGTACATTTCTTTGTGTCGGATTTGCCTTGGAATACGGTCCAAATCAAGTATTTGAGGAAGTATGCGTGGGTTCTTCTTAGGATCAGAGCTTGGCACAATTTTGGCAAGAGATATTTGGTTGTTGGGACGGACCAGACAAAGCCATTGGCGATTAGGTGAGATAGCAACGGTTTTAGCTCCATGTCTAGCAACTGAAGGTGGAAGGTCAATCTTTTTGAAGCGGAGCACAGGCTGGCTACCCCCCCTCCGCCACTTCACACTGAACATTTTCACTTCAGCTATGGTTGCTGCAACGAAAAATTTCCCGTCAGATGACAAGGTGGCGGACGTAAGATTTTCCTCGCCTTGGAACAGCACTTTGCCTACTAGTTCATGGCTCATCCCATCTAAGAGCCTCCCATCATTCCCCGAACTCCCAGAAATATACCATAAGCTGACTTCACGGTCCCACCAACTCATAAGGAGGCGTGGTGAAGGCGCTGAGGATATTTGGGGAACCTGGGGAAGATTTGATAATTTTCGGTGGTGTTCTGACCCATACTCGCGCAACGGTACAACGACAGGAACTGTATCCAATCCTGTAATTTGATCATTAGATTAAAAGCAGACAATAAGTCGTTAAATAAAAAACGGTTTGTCCTTACCTCCTGATACGACGATGCTTATATTCCTTGTCTCATAAACCGCGAAGGCCTTGACATCATGCGAATGATATCGACGATGCGTTACTTCTTTCCATCGCCTCGATTTATCATTCTTCTTACCCCTCTCTAGTGTGTATATAGTTGTCCTCTGATCTGCTCCGCCGCTGATGACAGATTCTCCATCGGCACTAACAGCAATATCCAACACATCTGCCAGGTGGCCCTGTATTCGTTGAATGAGAGAGTAATTCTTCGCGTCCCAAAACCGTATTTCACCTGTAGAGTCGCCAGAGATAATTGTCCCGTCCGGCAAGCATTTCACCGACCATACTAGCACCTCCTTGGAGCCCTTCACTAGGCCTTTACCCATGGAAACAGTACGCAGAATCACGCCATTGCGAATATCAAAGATTCGAATAGTGCTATCTGTATATCCAGCTACAACAGTGTTACGATCCTGGAACGTAAGACTGAGGACTCTAGCCTTTTTAGTTGAGGGTCTCATGGTGCGTATATATCTCAAATCCCCGTCCTGTGTCGACAGGATGACAATTGACCCATCGGCACACCCAACAGCCAAATGTTGTCCCGTATATTCCCCTTCAGCTGGGGGTAAGAATTTCCCATCTTTATCTTTCTCCGTGGGTCTCCAACGGGGTTGTGCAGCCAAACACCAAATCTCTCCAAAATTACCATTTGAATGCCTAGCAGGGCGAGCCTCTTCGAGATTCCACTCTGTCACCACGCTGGAAGACCCAATGCTAAACAATCGCAGCTTCCCAGGGATTCTAAACCCGCTGCCATCGGTCCCGTCCTCGCTGGGGTCTTGAGTCCATGCAAGACCCTCGATGCTGAGATCCTTACCACCTCGCAAGATCGATTCCTGTAGCCAGGCTCCGCGAAGGGGATTCCATATTTCGATATCGCCGTTGGCACGTCCGATAGCGAGACGCAGAGTAGGAACACCTCTGCCGGAGACATCCGCAGAGGGAGGATGAGAGAATGCGAGGGCGTTAATTGCCCGCGGCTTGAATGGTACGAATCGACATCTGTGGATATCCATAGCTGTTGAACGTTATATGTTATACGTTATACGAAAAAAGTTTCCAAGACAGACACGGGCAATGGGTGAGCAATCAGCATACGATCATCGAATTTTGATTAACTAGGTTAGGGAAGATGTCTAATCAAACCACCCACAACTCAACTACGGAGCCATTTCCTGCTCTGTGTTTTCGCCGTTTATCAGTTTTGTTGTCGGGCAAGGAAAACCTGTGTCGCATCGCAAGTTTGCTGGGTTGAATGAAATCTTCCCTAGATATTTTTTTCTCCAATATTTCTGCCACAAAAATGATCAGCCTCTACGGAAGTACCAAAGGAAATTTTCCTGGACGGTTTCTACCACGTGATATCACTGTTCAAATTTGTTGGAGCCTAGGCTTCCTATTATGGACTAGCGCACCGCACACTAGTATATAGCATCTCTGAGATAACTACCAATATAACCACTTCAGACATCCCATTGGTCTGGATTGCTTGTTTTCCTTTTTAAAGAGCCTTCTGCACATTACTTCTGCACACTATTTCTTCATCTTTTATCTGAGGTATAAAACATCTCATGTGGACTGCATCACTGAATTGCAGAAAGAATCTGATGAAAAATGACTATTTTAAAAGCTTTGATCATAGAAAAAAAATTAAATCAAAAAAAGATAAATAAATATTTTTAATAATATGAGCTGCAGAATTATTGAATATCTCTGCAAGCAATAACATAAATAGAAATGAATACAATACATCTATCTCTGAATTTAGAGAAGAAACTAATTAAATAGAGAAAATAAATATTATGAAAAGTTATATATTAAAACTTATAATATTCATACTATATTTTTATATTATTAAAACACTATTAAAATAATATCATCAAAGTTTCATCTCTATTTTTATTTGTATAGTTTTTATCTATGTATTCTATAATAATATAAATTAAACTCTGTTCAGATCATAAAATTTTAAAAATTTATTAAATAGATAAATTTTTTTTATCATATAGAGTAGATTTTGATTATTAAATAGAAAGACTTTGTTTATTAGATAAAACAGATTTAATTTTAATAATAGTAGAGCAATCATCTCATATTATCTTATAGAAATTATAGAGCAATGATTTAGTAACTATAAAGAATTATATTTTAAAATCTAATACTTAGACTATATCTTCATATTAATAAAAATATTATTGAAAAACTATTATTTTCATACTATCAAAATATTATTGAAAGACTAACATCTTCATACTACTAAAATATTATTAAAGAATTAATAATATTTTTAAAATGATATCTTTATTTATATCTCTATAATCTATATTTATATATATATATATATATTCTCTTCTTTATATATAATTTCTATTATAAAAGTATTAATTCTTTTATTAAATTTTTATTTTTTATAAAAAAAAGCTCAATTTTTTATAATTTCTATATTTTTTCTTTCTATTTTAATAATTTCTTTTTTATTTTTATATATATTAGCTATTAGCTATTTCAATAATTAATCTATTATATTAAAAATTATTTTAAGATTATATCTCTGAGACTTAAGAAATTAATTTTATTAAAGTTCATAAATAATATACAGCTGCTTATATATGAGAAGAGATTTAATATATCTTAATAATAAGCTATAGAAAATATTAAGTTTATAAAAGATTTAAAAATTTTAATGATATTAGTTTATAATTTACTACTAATATCTTCATAATTAGTGAAAAAGAATTTATAACTTAGTTATGAATTATATTATAAAATATTAAAAAATTTTAATAGATACACTTATATAACATTGAAAACATCTTTAATAATAGATTATATAAGAAGAAATCTTTTGAATTGAACTTTAAAACTCAAGATATTAATTAACTATTGCAATTACTTATGAAAATCTTTAATAATTCTTCTATTTACTCTGAGTACAAATGTTCAAAAAAAAGTTTATATTATTAAAATTCTTTAGTAAAGCTAATATAATTCATCATTTAGTCAATTAGATCATCTAATAGATCAGTTTATTCAATATGTATATATCTAGCATTCACATCAACAAAATACTCATTCTATAGCCTTCTCAAGCTTTCACTTAGAAAGGAAACTGTTTTTAACTATTTAGATATTAAAAAGAGATCAAACTTTAAGTATTAAGAAAGCTGCAAGCTTATACAATATCTCTTTTATTATTTTACAAAATTGATTAAATAATTGTATAATATAAGAGAACTTTCAACTTAATAATTGAAAATTAGCCTCTACTGAAGAGTCAGTTCTTGTATAGTGAATTCTATTCATAAATGAACATAATCAGTCTTCTCAAGTATATACTATATAAGAAACAGTCAATCTTCTTCTTGTCAACTGAGATTCTAACACTAAGATCAAATCTTCATCTACAGTTGGTAAATACTAAGTTAATCAATTTATTGGTTGTTATTCTAAGCTTAAATTCTAGTTCTCACACAAATATGATTATCAACAGACTTTATAGACTTTATATAAAAATTCTGAGATTATTCATAAATGATTCAGACTTATATGAAACATCATTACAAAGTATGAAATTTTAAAAGATGATATCTACAACTTTGATGAGATTATATTTCAGATGAGAGTTATTAGCACTTCTAGAGTGATGACTGAGTCTGAAAGAATCAATTATTCAAAATTGATTCAATCTGGAAATTGAAAATGAGTAACTTTTATTGCTGGAATTAATGTCACAGATTGAACTCTTCATATAATAATTATTCTCAAATAAAAAATACATCAATTCTGTTGATATGAGATAGAAAAGCTATCAGATAACTGAGTTATTGAAGTTAGTGATAATGACTGAACAACTGACAAAATGAACCTGTATTGACTGAAGAAGATGTTCAACAAGAACACTATACTCTGTACAAAGAGCAAATACTGACTATTGATTCTTGATAAATATGAAAGTCATACTTCAGCTGAATTTGACTGATTCTACTCTGAGAACAATATTATTACTCTCTACATGCCAGCTCATTCCTCTCATTTTCTTCAGTTATTAAATATTGACTGCTTCTCCTCTCTGAAAACAGTATACAGACAACTAATAGAGAAGCAGATGCAGTTTGAAATCAATCATATTAATAAAAAAAGTTTCTGAATCTCTATTCAACTGCTCATATACAGACTCTGACTGAGAGCAATATCAAGAATAGCTTTACAGCTGCTGGACTAGTTTTATATAATTCTGAACAGATTCTCTCATATCTTAATATCGCAGTGTATATACCCACCTCTTCTGAAACTTCTCATAGCTCTCAAGCTTCCTAAGTCACAGTTACATCACATAATATATATCAATTGAAGCATCAGACTGAGAAAATCAGGAAATATATTAAATATTATATGCAGAGTCTACTTAGTTCTACTCATCAGACTCTAAGCCAGCTTGTCAAGAGCTATCAAATGACTATACATAGAATGATACTTTTAAAGCAGAATATCAAGGAACTAAGAGCTATAAATGCAAAATAAAAGAGAAAATGAGAAATAGACTATATATATATAGTTCAAAAAAGTACTTTGAGAGTTGAAGAAGGCTTGAATTGTGTATGAAGAGTTAATGAATGAAAAGAAGAGGTGATTGAAGCTGCTGACTCTCAATCACAAAAACATATAATATCATGATATAGTATATGTGAAACTATTGAATATACTACTCATACATACTCTCAGCATGTAGAAAATAAGTCTTAATATAATTTACTACTTTCTGTAAATAATTATTGCTTAATTTAATCTGAAATACTTTGAGTGATGAAAGATTAATTAACTAGATGATCTGATTGATCAGATGATGAATTACATTAAAATTATCTTCTTACTTAATTAGTAGACTATAATTAATATAATATTATAGTCATTTTTACTCTTTAATATATTTATAAAGTTTATTATAATATGCTACTATGTTTATTCTAATATTAATAGTAATTTTAGCAGATAAAGAGCTTTATCTCTGAAGATCTTACTAATTCAGTATATATAATACTTCTGAACATAGCATATAATATCTATCTATTAGATAATCTATTAATACTAGAGATAAATCAGAATCAAAGTCTCTTTTAGCTTAGTATATTATTAAGATTTGATTATAAATTTTCTATAGTAGTGTATTTATGAAAGTTTCTTTTTTTTAAATAGATATTATCAATCTTTTATTATAAAATAATATATTATTATTTGTTATATAAAGATTATTCTTCTCTTCTACTTGCTACTATAAGAACTTGAGTAAGATTATTATTTTATTTATAGATATAATATGTTTAATAATATTTTTCTTTTTTAAGAATTTAATTCTAATAATATCTATCTTCATGAGGAAAATAATTTAAGAATTCAAAATCTCTGATTTTAGAAGAATTTGTAAATAATCATCTGATTATTTTTTAATATACTCAGATCTACTCAGTATATTTGCTAGTATATTATTTTTTTTTGATCAGTATTTGATCTTAAAGTAAAAGTGAGAAAGAAATTCTATTTAGTATATCTAATGTATATTCAGCTTTTTAATTATTATAAAGTATTTTAGTATATAATAATTAGTGAAAATATTGAATTATTCATTCTATTATAGTCTTTTAAGCTCAGCTTATTATTTCTGCTATACTCAAATAATTGTAAGAATTTTCTTATTATAAATCTCATAGTTGAGCTTTACATCATTTATTGATTTAAAGTAGAAGATCACAAAGTATTAAAGATTATTATTAGTTTTTAACTTAGTATTTCAGTTATTACTTCATGAGAGATATTAATTTTAATATAAATTTTATATTCAAAGTTATAATAATATAGAGTTAGAATCTTCATTAGTTGCTTCTTTAGTTTCTTAAAAACTAACTAATATTATAAT